CTTCAGGGCCTATTTTTGGCTTAAGATTGAAAGATGACCTCTGGACTGTAGTTTCAGGGGTCAGTCTAGTCATTCTCTAAACTTTTGATTAACAATCGAGTGAGTTGGCCATTTGAATGACCCAGGGACTGTGAGGACCAGTTTGTTGTTAAAGGGGTCATGGTTCATCAGAGTTGGAAAGGCAAGAGGACGCGTTAGTTCTGCCCGTTCATGTTACAGAAGGGGAAACTGAGGCTCAGAGAAGGGAAAGACTTGCCTGAGGGTCTTCTCTGGGTTGGTGCCAGCCCAGGCTTGGGAACCTGGGTCTCACTGCCTTCCTCACCCATCAGTATTCCCCAAACATCAAACTCTTTGTGAGTCTCCAAGTTATCTTGTAGCTTCAGACATATTGGAATATCAACTATATTATTATTTACTTTGCATTTTCCCCAAACAAACTTACAGGTTTTATATCCGTTTATTTTAAAAGAAACCTTCATAGCATACCAATGAATGGTTGATCAGTATCGCTTGTCATCAACGAAAGCTCAGTGCAGAAATAATTCTAGAAACATGTGTGTAACCCTCAAAGTCACTTTGAAAACCACCAGTGTGACAAAGCCTTTGGAAATGATGAATTTCAGCATGGTTGGAAATGCACGGATTTAAAAAATCTTTAGCTAGAGGTGATGGTTTTGGCTACTAGAGTTCACATCTAATGTTAACTCCTCAGGTATTTTTTTGCAGGTCACGTATCTTATAGGGGTATAATTGTCTATAAGGGGATGGTTAATATTCTCTGAGGCAGCATTGTTGCTATTGTTGTGTGCTGTTGAGTTAAAACCAACTCATAGCTGGCCCTCCGGTGGGTTTTCAGAGGCAGTTAGTTGCACAGAAGAGACTGCCCATCCTTCTCCCATAGAGCAGCTGGTGGATTTGAACTGTGTGCCTTTGGGATTGCAGTATAGCTTCTTACCACTTAGACCACCAGAGCTCTCCATGAGACAGTAGCATAGGTGGTGCTCAACTCCTAACTGAAGGTTGGCTGCTTGAACTCACCCAAAGGCGCCTTGACGATCTTATTCTGAAGGATCGCAATCTTGACCACACTATACATCACAATTTAACTCCAGCACACATGGGCCACCATGACTTGAATCTTAATGGCAGCAGGTTCAAATATTCCCTGCCTCATAGTTGTAAAAAATAGAGGAAAATTGCCATGAAAATCCTTGAGAGCCACAGACACTGGCCATGGCTGATTATGATGAATATATACATGTAGATACATGCCATATTAAAGTCCATTTGGTCTATATGCAACTCAGTGTACATCTGTAGTCCCAATCCCTCAACAACCTGTTACAGTAAAAATATTAAGTAAATGGTTCATCATAACAAGAGGGTGTTACTATGTGATATACACCAAAATACTATTATTATTTCATTATTATGGTAAAAACATCTTAGTGTGCCTGGAAGTGTTTTCTTTCATTTTGTTTATGCATTAAAAGGTACACTATTTGGCAAGCTCTGACCAAGGCAAGCCCTCCCTAGCTGAGCTGAATCATGGGAATCAAGAAATAGACAAATAAATGAGCAGAATGCACTTACCCTGGGCTGGGTTCTTCACGGGCTTCTCCAGCCTGGACTCTGTGGCTGCGGCTGGCACGCAACCCTCTCCCGCTGCCCTTTCGGTCCTGACCCCCTCGCCCCCCTCGCTGGGTCTCTTTAGGATCTCTTCTATGGAGAAGGACAAGCCTAGCTTCTTGGGGACCTCACAACATTCCATGCTCTTTCTCTTCATGTCCCTGCGGAGAGCAGAGCCCACCGTGGCCCTCTCTGTGCGTCCTGAGAGGAGGGACAGTGAGGGAGGAAGTGAAGCTTAGTGTGTGTTCCAAAAGGTGTCCCCCAGAAGGTCCTGGGGTCAAGAGGGTGAGCAGAGGCGGGGACCCTGGAGTCTCATGTTGGGGTGTCCAAACTCGGTCCCATCTCTGCAAGGGCTCCCATGGCTCACTTGAAATCGTTGGATCAAGCTGACAGGTCACATCCAAGGAGCCAGGTCGGGTACCTGGAGCCAGCACCTTCTCTGTCCTGTGTCCATGAGCTCAGAGGCCTACTGGCCAGATGTCAAAGGAGTCGCCATTGCCAAGTTGAAGTTTATCTTCCAGTGGAGGGTCTTCTCAAAGGCAGCTACTTTTCCATTCCCCAGCTGCTTCCGGAACGCTGAGGTCAGTGCCCACAGGAGAGTAGGGAGGGGTGGACACCCCTAGAGGAGACCATGAGGCCTGGTGTCTACCTTTGCCCTCGCTCAGGGTGGGGGTGCTTTTCTGCTTGTTCCCGTGTGGCCTCGGGAGGACTGGACTGGAGCGCCGCCTCTGGGCAGCAGGGGGCCAGGTCAGTCCTGGTACTAGAATGTGGGGGGTGTTCCCGGAAACCCTCTGGGCCTTCCTTCAAGTCTGCTGCCTCTGCAGGAAAGAACAGGCCCCTGAAGAGCCTACGCTTCCGCTCCAGGTGGAGGCTAAGGAAGGGGGCTTTTGGGGGGTCCCCAGCCCTTCCCCTCTCAGCCACTGGTCGTTGGAAACTTCTCAGGCTTTGCTTGTCTGGCCCTGCCTCCTCTCTGATCACCTGTCTGATCAGCTTCACTTCACAAGCCCACCTGTGGGCTCCTGCACCAATGTGCCCCTCTCTTCCTTTCGGGGTCGTTTCTGCTTCTCCCCAGCGCCCAGCCTCTTACCTGGGCCCCACAATGGCACTGAAGGGACCCCTTCTCTCTGTCCAGTCAACAGTCTCTGTCTGGGCGCTGACACTGGTTGATCTGTCCTCACCAGGAGTCTTGCCACAAATGACTGTGTAACCAAGGAGGAGGGGGCAGTAAAACTGGCTGATAAGAGGGGAGGTTCTCCACCCTCCTGAGGGCTCGAGGCAGGTGTGAGGCTGGAAGGGGCAGGAGGCAGAGGGGATAGGAAGGGCCTGCCATCCGGGGAGGGGCTGTTCTGTGGGGCTGGCCGGGTGGAGCGGGAGGAGAGGCTGGGTGGGAGAACCGCCAGGAAGTGTGGAAGGCCAATAAAATGTGTTTACTAGGCTGGAAGAATTTATGGGTCACCCAGAGAAGATTAAAGGCTGGGATTCCGGGTCAGCCTCAAGTATACTTATAAGAGTTTACAAATGCCAGAGCAAAAGAGGCATATACTAAGACCCCTGAGGGGAAACTGAGTCCCAGGCCCATGGGTGTGGTGCATGCCATGGTGGGATCTGATTTAAGCATCTACCAGGGAACTCCAGGATACCACACTGGCCACATGAATCCATATTGCATGAGGGTGATAGATAACCTATGAGGGTTGGGAATGGGAGTTGGAACATTAGAATCTAGGCTTTTTCTTATGAAGGGTAGGAGGTGAGTCCCATCTACTCCAACAAGTGGGTTTGGGGAGTAAGGGGCTCACCTGAAACTGAGGAGCAGGTAAAGATCACGTGTCCTGCTTCGGGCACAATGCCTCTCTGGAGTGCCAGGCGTCGGCCCTGATAAGAAGAGTTCCTGCTGCAAGAAGTCTGGGCTGGTGCAGTGGTTTACATGGCTCAGCTGCGAATGAGTCCACCTAGAGATTCCTTCGAAGAAGGGTTGGCATTCTACTTCTGAAGTACCAGACGTTGCAGACGTCATGGAGCACAGTTCTCTTCTGACATACAAGAAGTCACTCCAAGTTGGGCTTGACTCAGTGGCAGCTGGTTATGGAATCACTGGGTGCTTCAAATGGTTAACTCTCTGAGTTGTGGACCAAATGTGCGAGGTTAAGTCTATCCAGAAGCATCTCAGCCTGGAAATGTACTTGCAGAGCATCAGCCAGGGAGGAGCACAACTCTGCCCTTACACACGCAGGCTTGCCACCAGTTGGGATTGACCCAGTGACAAATGGTTAGGTTCTTCTGCAATGATGAAGCCTATCACCTCAAGGGCTCTGAGGTTCCCTTCTGTCGTGGTTGGACAGGAGGGTCCCACTCTCTCCAGTCACCCATGGGCCCAGGCTCTGCTTAACCTGGGATGCCACCGTCTTAAAATCATAGGCTTCAAGTTTCCTGTAACAATGGCTTGAAGGAGGGGAATTCGCATGAATCAGAGTTGGAAATAGTATATCAAATTTCTATTTCTATTCTAACATCTAGGAGGAGTCATAAGACCCAATCAAGGGCCAGAGGCCCAGGAAATGGCATTTTCCTCTCTGACTGGAGGAAAAAGAACATTTTGGTGAACATAGCACAATCGTGCTTCACCATGCCTGGCTGGCGTTGTGAAGATATAGGGCCACTGTAGCGGGCTCAGGGGCCTGTTTCATGAGAAGGGAACATTTCCGTTCCTTTATGAACAGAATAAACTGTGAGTGATACTCAGAGTGGTTGCCCAGTGAGGACAGGAGTGTGAGGCACAAGCACCATGAAGAAGAGTGGAAGAGAAGGCATTGATGGAGTCTTCCTATGCACTGGCCCCAGACACTCTCCACTTTGTTTAATCCACAAAACTCACTCCACCAGTAAGGTGTCAAAAATACCCACTTAGAGGAAGCCTTGGTCACACAATGATTACATGGTGGTTCAAGCTCACTCAGTGACTCCATGAAACAAAAGAGGAGAAGGACAGGTGTTGAATGAGAAATAAAGAAAGTGAAGCAGTGAAAGTCCGAGAAAGCTGAGGGCATGGAAGGAGTCAAGGATCCTTGCCTGGAGCTGATGGAGAGAGCTTCCCACTAGCGCTGGGGGCCAGAACTTGAACTTCTCATTGCCTGAACTGTGAGAAGATATATTTTTTTTTGTTCTTTAAATGCACTTACTTTTGGTCTCTCTGATCATTTGCTATGCATGTGAGAGATGGACAATGAATGACAGAATTGATGCCTTAGAGCTGTGCTGTTGGAGAAGAGCACTGAGCATCCCATGGACGGCCAAGAGAACAAACAGATACGTGTTAGAGAGGATGCAGCTGGAGTGCTCTTTGGAGGCAAGAATGATGAGGCTTTGTTTCACATACTTCAAGCATGTTGCTAGGAGACGCTACTCGTTGGAGAGGGCCATGGTGCTTGGAAGGCTGGATGATTGGCAAAAGAGAGGAAGACTCTCGACCAGGTAGAATGAGACAGAATGAGACAGTGACTGCTGCAATGGGCTCTAGTGTGTAAGGAAGTGTGAGGATGGCACAGGATAGGACAGGGTTCAGAACTGTTGTTCATACACTTATTTTTGTTACAATAGCACTGGGAACATAGTAAATAGTTTCCTGTATGGAAGAGAGTTTTAATTTTGTGAAGCAGTATTTGTTGTTGTTGTTGTTGTTAATGTGCTTTCGAGTCGCTTGCAACTCATAACGACCCCATGTACAACAGCCCTAAACTCTGCTCTATCCTGTGCCAATCTCACTGTCTCTGACACTCCCATCCCGATTATCCCAGGCACTGAATCAATCCCCCTCATAGAGGGCGTTCCCCTCCTGCGCTGTCCCTCCACCCTCCCAAGCATGATGTCCCTCTCCAAGGACCGGTCTCTCCTCACAACATGTCCAAAGTATGTTAGACGGAGCCTCAGAATCCTTGCCTCCAAGGAGCCACCCGGTTTAAACCTCCCCAGGACAAATCTGTTTGTTTTCCTAGCAGTCCATGGTATTCTCAATACTCTTCTCCAGCACCATAGCTCAAAGGCATCAATTCTCCTTCTATCCTCCCTGGTCATTGTCCAACTCTCTGATGCATAACAAGTGAAGCAGTATTTAGGAAGAAAATAATAGATTTGTGGCCGACTGTTAATTTATTCATTTATCAACTATTTTTAAACAACCATTATGATGATTCATCTCAAAAACCCATTACTAGAGTCAGAAACAGCTCAAAGCTGATCCGCCATTGGTTTTCCAAGGCTGTAAATGACACTGGAGGAAATTGTGTGTCTTTCTTCCTTGGAGCTGCTGGTGGGTTCAGATTAACAGAGAGCACAGCCTAAGGGTTAGGAGCACGATTCTCTACCGATTGGGCCACGAGAGCTTCCATGATGATTCACAGAGACCCTAAAGGACGGAGCAGAGCTGCCCGCGGGGGTTGCCAAGGCTGTAAATCTTTGTAGAAACAGACTGCCTCAGTTTTCCTAAGTGGGTTTGAACCTGTGGCCTTTGGGCTAGTGCTTAACCACTGTGCTACACGATGGAATTGACTTGATTACAGTAGATCTTCAGATTTTATTAGGATGTGGCATTTGCCACATGATCTCCGTGCTGCAAAGACAGTGGTGACAAAAACAGAAAAGGTCTCTGTTCTCATGGGGCTTCTGTTGAGACATGATGGAGAAACCGAACCAAAGTCAGTTCCATTGATTGGTTCTGATTCTCAGTGACCCTCACTCGGGTGTGAGGCTGTAATTCTTTATGCGAAGGACTGTCCATCTTTCTATCTCTGAGCAGCTAGTCAATTCAGACCTCCAATATTTATTTTTTTCAGTTTACATTTGGAGACTATACTTCTGGAACACCTTGTCAAAAAATAAGTAGGTAAATATAATTTCTATTAAGGAGCACTGATGGCACAGTGTTAACCAAAATGTTGGTGGTACTCAACCTTCTTGGGCAAAAGATGAGGTATTTGGCACCTGTTAAGAGTTACAAGGTTTGGAAATCTGACAGAGATACATGGACTGTTATTTGTATCTTTTAGAGTCACTATGAGTCAGGAAATCAAAAGATGAGTTGCATTGGGGAAGTTTGTTGGCAGGGACCTCTCCAAAGTGCTAAAGAGTCAGTATAGAGACCAAGGTGCACAAGATGTAGGCTATAGTCTTTTACTTGCTGTGTATCTGAAAGCTAGGCAATAACTAAGGATGACAGAACAATTGATGTCTTTGAGCTGTAATGCTGGAGAAGAGTATTGGACATAACTGTGGACTGCCAGGAGAACCAATAAGTCTGTCTTAGAGAAGGTAAAGCCAAATTTCTCTTTGGAGGCAAGGATTAAGTTCTGTCTCACATATTTTGGGCAGGTGGCCAGAAGGGACCAGTCCTTGGAGAAGGACAACATTCTGGGAAGGGTGGAGGAACAACACAGGAAGGGAAGACTCCGGGTGAGATGGATTGACATGGTAACTGGGGCAATGGGGTTAAGTGTATCCGAGTCAGTGAGACTAGCTTGGGATAGGGCAGGGTTCAAAGCTGTTGTACATAGAGTCGCAAGGGTCACAGGTGACTCAATGGCACACAATATGAACAACCACATGAGTTAGAATTTACATGGCAGTAAATCCAAGTTTTTAAAGTTTCTATCAGTAGCTCTAGCGGTCTAGTGGTGAGGAGCCGTGCTGCCATCCCTAAGGCATATGGTTTGAATCCAACAGCTACACTGCAGAGGAAGAGGAGTCATTTCCCCCCTTGTGAGTTGTAGCCTCTGAAACCTGCTGTGTGGTCAGCTATGAGTGAGTTCTCACACCACACAATGACACTTAACAACAATGATAAGGGACTCCAGCTTTTTCAGATGTTAATTTGAACCTGTAGAAACAAAGAAACAGCAGTGCTTCATGAGTAAGGATTTGACCACAAACCAGGTTGTGGAGATAAGGCAGGCAACAGAGGACCAAAGGAGATGAAGGTAAGTTACAAGCCATGCATAGCGGTGCCAGGTGTATCAGTTACAGTCATCTTAGTTACAAGTAAACAAAGACTCATTTTAAAAATACTTCCTCAGAAGGTGGAGTGGCATGTACTGCTAACTGAAAGGTTAGTAGTTTGAATTCATCAGCTGCTTTGAGGAGAAGGATGGACTGTTTCCTCCCAAGATTTACAGCTTTGGAAACCTGATAGGAGGGGGGTGTCACCATAAATTGGAACTGACTCAATGACAGACTGACAGTGGGCTTAATCAGTAGAAATTAGTTTGTTCCCGTGGTAACGTGCATAGGTAGAAGGGTGCAGGGATGGCTACTCCAAGAACAATGATAGTGTGAAGGAAAAAACCCATTGCTGTCAAGTTGATTCTGACTCATATTTGACACTTCATCAGGTTCCCAAGGCTAGGAGCAGACTATCTACCTTTTTCTATTGGAATAGGTGGTGGATTTGAACTGATCTTTGCTTATCAGCCTCACACATGATAGTGTTGTTGTTTTTTACCATCTAGTTGGAATTGAGCCATAGGGGACCCTCTGTGGATTTTCAGAGGCAGTTAATCACTTGGGAAGAGATTGCTCCTCCTTCTCCCATGGAGCAGTTGATGGTCTCTAACCATCTACCTTTGGGATTGCAGTGCAGCTTCTTGCCAGTAGGCCACACATGATACTATGAG